AAAAATAGTAACAGTTTTTAAAAACTACTTTGTTCGCTTGTGTCTTCTTTCAAATTTAAGTTTAACATAAAAATAAAGTTATTCTGTTTTTTTTTACTTAGATTAATTGTAGTTTGCAAAACTATTGATTGTAGTTTGCAAAACTATTGATTGTAGTTTGCAGAACTATTGGTTGTAGTTTGCAGAATTATTGATATAGTTTTTGTTTGTTAGAGTTTGTTAGAAAAATTTTATAATTTATTTGATGCAAAATTGTTAGAAACCGCTGTTAATATTTGATTAGGTTGTGATTTATAATTAATAGTAAATTTACATTTTTGATTTATTTTTCAGAAAATGTTGTATTATATAGATATAATATTATTGATTTGATATTCAATTTATATTTTTAGGATAAAATACCAAAAAATAAAACATATTTATAACAAAGAGATCATGTCAAGAACGTAAAAATGTGTTGCCGTGAGCCGTGGTTACATTCCAAATACTCAAGAAACATTACCCAAATGTTTAAATGAAGTAAGAAGTTTAAATTTAAGACAAACAGTTGCTTTCTTAACCTTTAAAATTCCTCTATTAGCAATAAAGAATAAACTGAAAAGATTACATAATAAAAAATAAGGTGAAAATTTTCTTCTTTAGTTTTGGTAAATATCCCTAATATGTAACTACGTCTTCTTTTGGATTTCCAGTTAACTGTTATGGTTTACACAATATTGTGAAGTCTTATGCAGACCGTAAAGAAATGTTTATTAGGCAACTTGCAGGAAACCTGGTGTTGAATAGGTAAAAATTTTCCTTAAAACAAATTAACAACTAAATGTTAGATTTGAAAGCAACATTTAAAGAAAGAGTGCAGAAGTAGGTAGAATTATTATTAATAACTTTTTTGATAATTTCACTCCTGAACTGGCAGGGTTCCTCTATCAAACATTTTGAATTACGACAAAACTAATTTAACTGATTACTGTGGTAATAAACTAGTAATAACAATGCGAGGATCAAAAATCTTTGATGTATTGTGGTAATGCATATCCTTTTTTCGTATATTTTTTACAAAGCAGATTCGATGTGGAGAACTTGGACAAAAATGGACCAAAAAGAATACGTTGTAACCTCTCAAAGGTTTGACTCCATTTGTTTTACAGATTGGTTTGAATCTTTATTGTTGCCTGAACTAAAAAAAGGAGCCGTGGTGCAGAGGTTAGAGTTCTAGCTCAGAAGCATGAGGTCCATGATTTGACACCGGCTCTGGCCCAATAACTGATACTGATAAGAATAGAGGCGTACACTTTCAAGTTAAATGTTCTACCGCAGTGCTGTGTGAACGTAAGGACTTATGGGAATCCTAATGACTACAAAAAAAAAAAAAAAAAAAAAAAAAAACACAAAGAAAACATGTTCAAATTGGAAACAACTTGTTATCACATATAAATACATGCTTAATGTCTTTGTGTGAAGAAAGCAACGTCAAGGTTATTGCACTTCTTCAAAACTCCACGCTTTTAAAGCAGTCATTGGATGTTGCATACTTTAGACTAATGAAAGGTCAGAGGAGAAAAATATTAACAGCGTTTCATTATTGCTTAAATATCTAATGAATAAAATTGAACAACAGTTTGTGAAAGTATGAAGACAGGCTTCAGAAAAACTGGATTATATCCACTTGATTGAAAACAGGTCCTAAATAGACTTCCTAAAAGAACAAAAATGAATAATGTGTCATTGCGGAAATAGTTTCTTTTGTCAGTGAGTCTTTTATACAACATTCAGTTAAAGCTAAAGGTGATGATCATAAAGTTCCACATAAAAAATGACATTCAGTCCCCGTTGTCTCATGAAAAAGTGTATTACCAATTGATACAGCTAATGTGCAAACAGCTATAAAATAAATAAAACAAAAAAAAAGACTCCAGTAAAAAGCACCAAGTTATTCACTCTTGAACAGCAAATGATTACAGATATTGACTAACACTAGCACTGATAGTTTGATAACTGATGCATATATTTTTGTGTTTTAGATATTAATTTTTATTTATTCGTCATTTATAACTTAATTAGTTTCTAATTTTTGTCTTAAAAACATATCGTTTAATATCCATGTATCTGTAAACATGTAAAATATGAACTTTAAGTAGCCAAAGTCACCACTTTCAGGGTGACTTCAGGGTGACTTTCAGGATTTTTTAAGTAGTTTTAAGTTTCAGGGTCTTTTAAGACTTCAGAGTGACTTTCAGGGTGACTTTGACTCACGAATATATTGTTTTTTCATTTTTTTATTTTTATTGTTAATTTCACATACCAATCATTTATAATTAAATTTTGGAAGAAAAATGCTTTAATTTGATATAGTATATAATAGTATATAATCAAAAGAAAGATCACGCACCAATACAAACGTATACGTATAAAATAAAATGTTAAGTGAAAAATATAAAAATCAACAAAATAAATAACAATAAATTTTTTATAAATGATAATAAGTAAAGGCAAAGTTATTAATACATATCATTAAAAACAACATAATACATCATCTTCAAAGTATAAAACATAATACTATCATCATCAAAGCATAAAATAATATTTATATTTAGCTTTTATATATTTAAAATTCCCCTTTTAATAAAATAATGTTTTGTGTGAGAAGAGCGATTTGCAAAGCAGAGATGCATGTTTCTGACCAGGAAATTTCTACAGAATTTATATAGATTTTTATTTTTTTTTTTATTTATTTATTTCGTCATATATAAGCATTTTACAATGTTCTCGTTTCCAAGTTTAACAAAATAAATCAAAATCTAAAGAATGACAGGAGCAAGTAGAAGACATAAGTATTTTCGCCAAGCCCCTACAATTTGCGTGATATATTTTTTACAAAGTATCCATAATATATGAAATATAATAATTTATATTCACTATATAAAGCAAGTTAAAATAACAATAATAAAATAAAATTCGCTAAACTAAATAAATAGACTAAAGAAATTTAAAAGATTAGCTTTACAAGTTTTTTCAACAAAAAAATAAATAATCATTTTATATAGCAAGTTAAAAATAGCTATACTATAATAAGACTTCTAAAGTAAAATATAGAAATAAAATATATACAATAATTATTTACATTTTTTTTTGTGTCATTATCTCATTATATACTCATTATATAAAGCAAATAAATATAAACTTTATTGTAATAAGATAAAAATACTTCAAAAGTAAAGTAAAAAGCAAAAAAAAAAAAAAAAAAACACAGCAAGAAAAACAAATAAGTAACTTAAAAAAAATTAAATTTTTAAACTAAAAATATAAAAGTATGTCCCCAGTAAGCAAATGAACGTTTTTAAAACGTTTTTTTAACTAAGAAAAAAAAAAGTTTTTTAAAACGTACTGAATTGATGTGATTAATTCTGATTAATGTGTCTTAAAATGAATCTCTTAGTCATCACAATCAATATCATCTTTGTTTATTATTTTTTGACCTACACAACACAAACATAGAGAATATTTGAATTTTATCTAACAACTTGTCTTCTCATGTAGCAATTTTACAATTGAAATTTTTTTACAAATAACTTTACAGATTAATAACTTTATAAGTAAAATAGGGTATATAGTATGGTCCCAGTAAACACAGGACGTTTTTAAAACGTTTTAATTCCGTTCAATTTACGGTCGGACGTTAAAAGAACCAATACAATCGTTTTTAAAACGTTTTTTTGCAAACGTTTTTTTTAATGTTAATTTAAACGTTTTTTTAGCGTTTTTTAAACGTTTTATTTATTTTTTATTAACTTACGAAATTTCTCAGTTAGCTTATGAACGTGATAAAAAAACTTTTTTTAAACGTACAGCACGGCAATATTTAAAAGAGTATGTTTACTCAAATAATGGCGTGACCTTCGATTAGGCGAATTGATTTATTTAAGTAAAAATTATATAAATTAGTATATATTTAAATCAACCAAGTGTTTGTATTGATTTTTTGTAGAATTAAATTTGAAAATATATTGGAGTATTTTTAGTTTAAAGTTGTATGCCTTCGTTGAAACTAGGTTGTGTTTGTATTTCTACTTGAATCAAGTAGATATGATTAATAAAGTTTTAATGGTGTGGTTAGCTAGATTATTTTACTCTAATAAGTAACTTAATTGTTGAGTAAACTTGAATGCTTAAAAAAACTAGATTAAGTTTTTAATTCTACTTAATTTTCAACTGCTTTTAACGCAAAAAAATCTATTTGGATTTGAGAAAAGGGAACAACATTCTCAGAATTTTTCTTCTTTAACTCTAAAAATTAAAAATAATATCAGTGGTTTTTATAAAGGAATTACTATAGTTAAAAAAGGCTGAAAGGAAAAAAATATGATGATTTGTTTCAAGAAAGGGAGTGACTTACTTCAAAATGTCATTTTAAAATTTTTATTATTTAATGATATTCTGGTGTTATTACCAAATGTTTAGCAGTATGAAACCTATAATATTATATACCATACTATATACCCTATTTTACTTATAAAGTTAATAATATTTAAAGTAATTTGTAAAAATTTTTTAATTGTAAAATTGCTACATGAGAAGACAAGTTGTTAGATGAAATTCAAATATTCTCTATGTTTGTGTTGTGTAGGTCAAAAAATAATAAACAAAGATGATATTGATTGTGATGACCAAGAGATTCATTTTAAGACACATCAATCTTCATCATCTTTAAATAAAAAGGATAAACATTATGGATTTCCATTATCTCAAGCAAGTAAGTCTTTAGTTAAAATTAATAGTGTAATGTTTGTTGTAAAATGCTAACATGACTGTCAATATTAAAAAATATCATTAAAATGATGAGGTTCCAATTTTAACTTTAAATAATCACCTTCATGAAATCCATTATTTCAATATTATCAAAACTATAAATCTATGGAACAATTTTTCTTGTCTAATCCCAAACCTGAGAAAAATGCTAATATATATAATATAGCATTGCCACTATTAGGTATTTTAATGTCTATTAGTTTTTCTCTGATTTAGGCTTAGACCAGTAAAGTTGTTAAATTGTTAAATTTATGTATTTTAAATTTATTTACGTAGTTTAGTTAAGACAATGTAAAATTTAATTAGTGTAAATTTGTTTAGACTTTCAATATTATGTGTTGCTTCTCTTAAATGAGATAAAAACCCAAGGATGCAAAAAACTTTATATAAAATAGTGTGAAGAAGAAGTAGTAACTGAAATGAACAGCATAATAGAATTTGATAAGTTTGACTCAGCACTTGACAATGTTTCATCTAGTAACTCAGTAGTATCTCTGCAGTTGTAAATTGCTAAATACTGATTTGACAGGTTTTTCTTTTTTTTTTAATTTTCTTTACAATATATAATTTTTACTACTTAATTAGGAATTGTCAGATTTCCATTATTTTTTTCTATTAGAAACAAAGAGTTCAAAATATTAGTGGTAAGAACTGTCAAAAACTTGTGATAGCTATGAAGAAGAGGTTAGTAAATTAAAAGTGCATTCCTATAAATACTCTGTTTAATTTTATAATGATATTACTCCCATCTTACAATCCATTATACAATTCCCATGCATGGCTCTACGTTAGCCGTTTTACCATAATGGGATGACTGAATAACCGTGAATTTCATACGCGCAAACTAGCACATGTGCAAAGCAGTTACAAAAACTGGCACAATGCCAAATGGCATAAGTGCAAATGGGCATAACTGCACAAAAAGAATTCCAAACATTGGCATAATTGCAAACTGCTATAAGTGCAAACTGGCATATGTGTAAATTGGCGTTTGTGCGCTAAATAGATTTACAAACATTCGCATAAGTGTGAATTGCCATAAGTGGGAACTGGTATAAGTGTGAAGCAGTTGCAAAAACTCGCAAAAGTGCAAACAACATAAATGCAAACTGGCATAAGTGTGCCAAATAAATTTGCAAAATTTAGCATAATTCCAAACTGCGAATTTATTACACGCATTTATGTCAGTTCGCACTTCTGCCAGTTTTTGTAACTGTTTTGTACGTAATCAAATTTTGCACTTATGCCTATTCGTATTGTTTGCTAACCTGTTTGGCGCACTAATGCCAATTTACACTTTTACCAGTTTGCAAGTTTAAAGCTATAGGTTATCCTATAGCTTTAAACTTTAGTCCAGATAATTCTTTTAACCCAGATAATATTCATATATATGACTACACTAATGGTTAGTGTACACTTATGATCTGGACTTTATTAATGGTTAGTGTGCTATTTTTTAAATAATAGATTAGATTTAATTAATAGATAAACTGTATCGTTAAATTAAAATCTAAATGTTTAATTACATTTAGATTTTATGGAAAAAAAGAAAAAAATTTTAAATACAGTAGTTAATTATAATTTCATAAATTATAAGATATAATATTATTAAAATATATTATTTTTAGATTTATGACAAATTCGCTCATGGCCAAATCTAATATGGCAGCTGGAAAAGGCAAAGGATCTTTTTAGCCTAACTAAGCTATACAACTTAATAAAAGGTACGTTTATATATATATATATATATATATATATATATATATATATATATATATATATATATATATATATATATATATATATATATATATATATATATATATATATATATATATATATATATATATATATATATATATATATATATATATATATATATATATATATAAATATATATATATAAAATATTTATTTCTTAAACATGTCATGCTCTGCTTTATTTCTCGATTTTCTTTAGATTAATGAAAGACTAACATTTTTTGAAACATTTGTTTTCAGGTGTGCTTTTCTGATGAATCCACGTTTCAGATCTTGGACGACAAAGCCTCATTTGTGCGACGAAGGGTGGGTGAAAAATTTAATCCAGACTGCATTATCGAGACAGTAAAATATCCATTATCAATTATGATGTGGTCCGTTATATGTGGTTAGGGTACGGGAAGGCTTTACATAGTGCAAGGGACAATAAGGCAGGGCCAATACAAAGAGGTTTTGGAGCAAAAGCTCATTCCTTAAGTCTCGGAATGGCTTCCAGATGGCAAATTTATATTTATGCAAGATTCTGCCCCATGCCATACGGCAAAATGCATTAAAAAGTTTCTTGGAGAGAAAAAAATTCCACTGCTGGATTGGCCAGGAAATTCCCCGGATCTTAATCCTATAGAAAACCTGTGGGAGCTATTAAAACGGGAGGTTTCTTCAAAACAACTGGTGACAAATAAAACACAGCATATTGAAAAACTAAATGAAGGTTGGCATCGAAATCCTCACACTGTAAATTTTTGATTACTATTGTATATTCAGTTGTCGTAGAATGTTCTGCGAATTTATTTCCACATCGGAAATAAATTTATGTCGGGAAACAATTTTATGCGTAAGCTGCGTAATATTATTTCCTTAGTAACCGAAACTTGCGCCACGGAAATAAATTTATGGGGGAAATAAATTTGTACGACACCGGATATATTTTAATTTGCTTAATATAAAACATATATGTCTTTTATATATGTTTATTTACGTCTATTTACGCAAATATTTACCAGCAGACCACGCTGCAATTTTTTTATATTGATTTTTCACAGAATCGTTGCTAAAGGTAAAAATTATATTATAAAAAGATTACGATGGTAAGTTTTGAGAATTATATTAGCATCTTTAATATTACTGCTGAACAAACACTAGAATTTTCATTATTTACATAATTAAAGTTTCTTGTACATTATATTAGGTATGCTACATAAAAAATTTAAATTGAATAATTTCTAGATTGTTATATATCATGACGTTTTAAGTACCGATTTTTGGATAAATGAATTAGTTGATAAAATTGTGGTCAAAATAAAGTTTTTTTTAACTAAAATTATTAAAACTTTGTCAAATCCTATCTAAATCCTTAAAACTTGGTGTCAATAGATAGATATAAGAGTAACCTACACATTAAAATTTGCACGCACCCTCAGGGTGTATCCGGGGGCGTAAGTGTACACCCCACCTTTACACCTCGGATACACCCTCAGGTGTATCCGGGATGTAAAGGTGGGGTTTGGGTACACCCTCAGGGTGTACCCAAACCCCATCTTTACTGTCATAATATCAATTTTTTATCTATAATTTTTTTTTAAAAAAAACTGTTATTTATTTTTCTATATGCAAGTAGTTGTTTTAATTTCTTTCTAGACCAATTCGAGACGTACATCTCAGAGTCAGTGTGTATGTGAGTAACTTTTATTATTAAAAGGGTCTTTTAATAATAGGGGTAAACACCCTATTATTAAAAGACCCTGTTGATAAAAGAAAATTTTATTTAATTTTTTTTTAACTAAGGAGTTTTTTCAGAGGAAGTGGTGGGACTGACCTAATAAATGGGTGCATGTGGGAGAGGGGTAAACACCCTAAAATTGAAAATAATTATTTCAAATCACTATTTTTGAATTTCTTTTAAAAAAGTAGATATAGAATAAATAAAATACAAACTATATTATAATAGGTTAGAACATATACTAGCCGTGCATATCGAATCGAGGGCATGTGTCCCTTGTATCCCTTCACCAATCTAAAAAAACATAAATATATTATTAAAAGTGTGAATATTAATTAATATTCATATGAAAGTCGTTTTTTTAATTTCCTTTCAGACTTCCCCCAAATACTTATTTATATGCCAAATAAGTATTTTTTACCTTTATTAAAAAAGAAATCAACCTTGTATAAAAAATATAAATTATATTTTAGTACATTACAACTTACACTAGCGACGCACAGTAATTCAGAGAAAAGGTGTGTCCCTCTAACCTAAAAACAAAACATATATTAAAAGTGATAATATTTTATACAGAATATATACTAAAAAAATGCTTATATTTTAGATGGTAAATTTTAATTTACACACTTTACCCATGGCCCCCACAAGGGAGAGGGGGTCTGGTGGTATTTTTTGAACTGGAGCCCCCAACTTTTTTGGCTGCCCTTTTTTTTAGACTTGCAACTTTGCCATTAAAAGAGGGCCTTCAGAAGACATAGGTCGGATGACCTCTCCGAACGTTAAAGTACAAATATTTTACAAATAATTATCAATAAAATAATTTATAAAATGAATAAAAAACTTACAATACCTGCTGTAATAGTGTGTTTGTAATTTATTTTTCAATTCTCTAACTTCCGCTCGTAAAGCTTTTATAATTACTTCTTTTCGTTTAACACTTTGTCTGAAAACTTTCAATTTATAAGGTAGGCTGATTAATTTTTCTTTTGCTAAAGCTATCTTCTTACGGTTTTCTATGTTAGCTCTAGCTAACCTCGAAGACAAAATAGATGTCCTCTTTACTAATTTTTTCTCATAAGACTCTGGTAGTGAAAATTTGAAAATGAGGCATACTTCAAGAGAAAAAACATAAAGTTTTTTCTTGAAGTATGCCTCATTTTCAAATTTTCACTACCATAATTAGGTTCATTAATACTTGGAGAACCAATGCGTTCAGGTGATTAAACATTTAAAAAACATGAAACATTGTAAATAGAACTACTACACCTTTTCAAGATGTAATTGAGAAAACAAAAATTGTAATTAAGATTCGTAAGATGTAATTGAGAAAACAAAAGTTGTAATTAAGAAACGTAAGATGTAATTGAGAAAACGTAAGTTGTAATTAAGAAACATAAGATGTAATTTAGAAAACGAAAATTGTAATTAAGAATCGTAACATGTAATTGAGAAAATGTAAGTTGTAATTAAGAAATAGAAAGATGTAATTGAGAACACAAAAATTTTAATTTAGATATCGCTTTAAAGGAGTAAGTGTAAAATGGCGCTTAAAAAAAATGGCGCGTAAAAAAATGGAGCGTATAAAATGACGCACTTAAAAATGACGCAAGATTTGTAGCGTAAATTTAATTTTTTAGGGAAAAATTTAGAGAAAAATTTATAATTTTTGGGCAAATGAATTTAACATAACAAACACTAAAAACATTTTAGGGAAAAATTTATAATTCAATTAAAAATTATAATTAAAAATTATATAATTAAAAATCACTTCATTGATCATTTAAGCACCAACTTGTACGTCTTCCATATTTAAAATAGTTGCATAGTGCGTGGTTGTGTGTTGTACCGCACGTACACAATCTCCTCCCATTATAGTATTTTTCGCCTCAATTACAATTTGTTCTAAGTACTGCATGCGCTGTTCCGCAATCCCGTCACCTAATACAGGTGGAATGCGAATTGCATTTTTAACGTTACTTTTAATTTTGGACCAGATCGTTTCCACCGGGTTCAACATTGGACTGTAAGGTCCCAAACGTAACAACTGAGCTGGTGAATTATCAAACACCCTTTGCAAACGAGCGTGACAAGGAGCATTATCTGTTACAACGACCAAATCCTCCAAACGATTCCCGGATGTAACCCACTGGTGAAACATAGCCAAAATCCACTCGTTACAGGAATCTGCTTTAAATGATCCCCTGCGAGTTTCTATCATGACGACATTTGTAGTTGAAATAGCTGCGATCAAGTGTATGTTTAAACCTTTTCAAGCAGGTACTTTCATAATAGCTCTTTTTCCTTGTCTCGCGCGTCCTTGCGTTTTTCTACAAAAAAGGTTAAAATTTGTTTCATCCAACCAAACTATCTGACGACCATTTGTGATATGTTCGTTGATGTTTCTAACATATTCAGCTCTTTTTTGTTTGTTTTCATAACTGTTCATTGTAGAAGGCTCCTTGCGCACTTTTTTTAATGAGAACAATCTGCCTTCGAGGTAATTTGCTATTGTTGTTGTGCTAACGTTTATGTTAAATTGTCTTAATATCTTTGTTTTGATGGCCACCAATGTTAATTGACAATCATTTTCAATCCATGTTAATGTTTCTTCGATTTGATCTTCGGTCAACTTTTTTGGTTTAAAACCTCCTTTTCCGATGAAATTTGAATTTCCGCTGCGAACCTAATTGTATGCTGTCTTATATTTGATACCTAACGTTTGCGCGAGATTCACCCAATCTTCAAATCGCTCCGCACATTCAACAACTCTTCTCCTGTCATTTGGAGAAGATAAAACGTAACGTTTCCTTTCAACTTGTTCAGTTGTGTGTATTTCATGCCGACAAATCGGACAACTTGAATCTGGTTGTTCCAGAACTGGACGTAAACAAATTTGGTGACATAAATGTTGACACGAATTTAGCTTAATCACAGACTTTCGGGTCATAGTGTATTGGCATATAACACAACGATCTTTCAATTCCATTATTATTACTTGTGCATACAAAAGCAAAATTTAAGATTATAACTTAAATTCATGTCCAAAAAGACCTTTTGTAACAACCTACAAACTTAGACTGTGAATTTGCTATTTTAATTTATGTGTTCTCAATTACAAGTTACGATTTCTCAATTACATATTATGATTTCTCAATTACATCTTACGTTTTCTCAATTACATGTTGTGTTTCTTAATTACATGTTACGACTTCTTATTTACATGTTGTGTTTCTCAATTACATAT